ATTCCCAGCTCTCCCAGCCTGGCACTGGAACCAGCCCCATCCCGACCCCTCCTGGAGAAGGAATTTTGGGATCCAGGGGCTGCCCTGGGAATTGGGGACTCCAGGAAGCGTCTCCCTTCCCTTTCCCATCCCTGAATTCCATAAAAATCCCTGGGGATGAATCCTGAGTGTCCTTGATTCCAGAATTCCCCTTCTTCATATCCCATATCCCACATCCCAAATCCCACATCCCAAATCCCATATCCCCTATCCCACATCCCATATCCCATATCCCATATCCCACATCCCAAATCCCATATCCCATATTCCCAGATCCCTTTATCCCCACCCCTCTCCCATTTCCCGCTCCCTCCCCGATCCCTTTCCCGCCAAATCCAATTCCCTGCTGCCCTCTAGTGACCGCAAATCCCGGGAAAACTCATCCCGGGATCCCATCCCGGTGGGGGCTGGAATTTTGGGATCCTCTGGAATTCCGGGAGAGTCCCTAAATCCCTCGGGATCCCCCGGCTCATCCGCGTTTCCCACCGCAGGATGAGAAGAACCCGTCCTGTCCCATCCCATCCCATCCCATCCCATTATCTCATTACCCCATTATTCAATTATCCCATCCAACCTTCATCCCTTCTCCAGCCAAGGCTCATCCCAAGGCTCATCCCAACCGCATTCCTGCCCATTCCCTGTTTTCCAGCACCGACGGCGAGTTTGCCGTGACCCACATGACCAAGGCCCACCTGTTCTCCTGTCCCATCCCAATATCCCAATATCCCATTATCCCATTATCCCATTATCCCCTTATCCCATCCCATCCCATCCCGTTATCCCATCCCACCTTCATCCCTGCTCCAGCCAAGGCTCATCCCAAGCCCGTTCCTGATCTTTTCCGCCCATTCCCTGTTTTCCAGCGCCGACGGCGAGTTTGCCGTGACGCACATGACAAAGGCCCACCTGTTCTCATGTCCCATCCCATTATCCCATTATCCTATCCCATTCCACCTTCTTCCCTGCTCCAGCCAAGGCTCATCCCAAGGCTGTTCCTGACCATTCCCGCCCATTCCCTGTTTTCCAGCGCCGACGGCGAGTTCGCCGTGACGCCCGTGACCAAGGCCCACCTGTCCTCCTGCCCCATCCCATCCCATCCCATCCCATTATGCCTTTATCCCTTTATCCCTTTATCCCTTTATCCCATCCCATCCAATCTTCATCTCTTCTCCAACCAAGGCTCATCCCAAGCCTCATCCCAAGGCTCATCCCAAGGCCGTTCCTGACCATTCCCGCCCATTCCCTGTTTTCCAGCGCCGACGGCGAGTTCGCGGTGACGCACATGACCAAGGCCCACCTCTCCTGGGACGGCACGGTGACGTGGGTGCCGCCGGCCATCTACAAGAGCTCCTGCAGCATCGACGTCACCTTCTTCCCCTTCGACCAGCAGAACTGCAAGATGAAGTTCGGCTCCTGGACCTACGACAAGGCCAAGATCGACCTGGAGAACATGGACCACCACGTGGACCTCAAGGACTACTGGGAGAGCGGCGAGTGGGCCATCATCAAGGCCGTGGGCGCCTACAACTCCAAGAAGTACGACTGCTGCACGGAGATCTACCCCGACATCACCTTCTACTTCGTCATCCGGCGCCTGCCGCTCTTCTACACCATCAACCTCATCATCCCGTGCCTGCTCATCTCCTGCCTCACCGTGCTGGTCTTCTACCTGCCCTCGGACTGCGGCGAGAAGATCACGCTCTGCATCTCCGTGCTGCTCTCCCTCACCGTCTTCCTGCTGCTCATCACCGAGATCATCCCGTCCACCTCGCTGGTCATCCCGCTGATCGGCGAGTACCTGCTCTTCACCATGATCTTCGTCACGCTCTCCATCATCATCACCGTCTTCGTGCTCAACGTGCACCACCGCTCGCCCAGCACGCACGCCATGCCGCCCTGGGTCCGCAGGCTGTTCCTGGGCCTCATCCCACGCTGGCTCTCCATGAAGAGGCCGCCGGCGCCGCCGGCGCCGCCCCGGCAGGGCGCGGCGGGACAGTACGACCGCCCCGGCGCGCGGCTCAGCACGTCGCGGTGCTGGCTGGAGACCGACGTGGATGACAAGTGGGAGGAGGAGGAGGAAGAGGAGGAAGAGGAGAAAACCTATCCCAGCCACCCCGCGGAATCCAAGGAAACGCAATTCCGCTACGGCGACGGCGGGAAGGAATCCGGGGGTTCGGGATCGCGCGGATCGTCCAAGGGGAAGGAGGAGAAGGAGGAGGAGGAGGAGAAGGAGGAGGAAGGCTCGGAGCAGGGCTTGGCGCTGTCTCCCAGGATGCTGAAGGCGCTGGAGGGGGTGCAGTACATCGCGGATCACCTGCGGGCCGAGGACGCCGACTTCTCCGTGAGTTCTGGGAGGCGGGGATGGGGCCGGAGGCCCCGGAATTGGGAAGTTCTGGGATCTGTGGATGGGGCTGGACGCCCCAGAATTGGGAAGGGAAGATCTGGGATCCATGGATGGACTTGGAGATCCAAAAATTGGGAAGTTCTGGGATCCATGGATGGAGTTAGAGGTCCCAGGATTGGGAAGGGCAGTTCTGGGATCCATGGATGGAGTTAGAGGTCGCAGGACTGGGAAGGGCAGTTCTGGGATCCATGGACGGACTTGGAGATCCCAAAATCGGGATCACGGATGGGGTTAGAGGTCCCAGGACTGGGAAGTTTCCTGAGGACCAAAAAATGGGAAGGGCATTTCATGGATCTGTGGAAGTGTCTGGAGATCTCAAAAATGGGAAAGGAAGTTCTGGGATCTGTGGATGGGGCTGGAGGCCCCAGGATTGGGAAGGGAAGATCTGGGATCCACAGGTGGGGCTGGGCGCCCCAGAATTGAGAAGTTCTGGGATCCATGGACGGACTTGGAGATCCCAAAATCGGGATCACGGATGGGGTTAGAGGTCCCAGGACTGGGAAGGGCAGTTCTGGGAGCCATGGATGGGGCTGGAGATCCCAAAATTGGGAAGGGAAGTTCTGGGATCCATGGATGGGGTTAGAGGTCCCAGGACTGGGAAGGGCAGTTCTGGGAGCCATGGATGGGGCTGGAGATCCCAAAATTGGGAAGGGAAGTTCTGGGATCCATGGATGGACTTGGGGATCCTAAAATTCGGATCACGGGTCGGGTTAGAGGTCCCAGGACTGGGAAGGGCAGTTCTGGGAGCCATGGATGGGGCTGGAGATCCCAAAATTGGGAAGGGAAGTTCTGGGATCCATGGATGGACTTGGGGATCCTAAAATTCGGATCACGGATGGGGTTAGAGGTCCCAGGACTGGGAAGTTTCCCGAGGACCAAAAAATGGGAAGGGCATTTCATGGATCTGTGGAAGTGTCTGGAGATCTCAAAAATGGGAAAGGAAGTTCTGGGATCTGTGGATGGGGCTGGAGGCCCCAGAATTGGGAAGTTCTGGGATCCATGGACGGACTTGGAGATCCCAAAATCGGGATCACGGATGAGGTTAGAGGTCCCAGGACTGGGAAGTTTTGCTGAGGACCAAAAAACGGGAATCGCAGTTCTGGGGTCTGTGGAAGTGTCTGGAGATCCCAAAATGGGGAAGGGAAGATCTGGGATCTGTGGATGGGGCTGGAGATCCCAAAATTGGGAAGGGAAGTTCTGGAATCCACAGATGAACTGGAGATCCCAAAATCGGGATCACGGATGGGGTTAGAGGTCCCAGGATTGGGAAGTTTCCTGAGCACCAAAAAATGGGAATCGCAGTTCTGGGGTCTGTGGAAGTGTCTGGAGATCCCAAAAATGGGAAGGGAAGATCTGGGAGCTATGGATGGGGCTGGAGATCCCAAAATTGGGAAGTTCTGGGATCCATAGATGGAGTTAGAGGTCCCAGGATTGGGAAGGGCAGTTCTGGGATCCATGGATGGAGCTGGAGATCCCAAAATTGGGAAGGGCAGATCTGGGATCCATGGATGCAGCTGGGGATCCCAAATTGGGAACGGAAGTTCTGGGATCTGTGGATGGGGCTGGAGATCCAAAAATTGGGAAGTCTCCTGAGATCCCAAAAATGGGAAGGGCAGTTCTGGGATGCATGGATGGAGACGTCAGTTCCAGGATCCAGGTTTGATTTTTGAGGACCTAAAAATGGGAAGGGCAATTCCAGGATGCAGGTTTGGTTTCCCAAGATCCCAAAAATGGAAGGGCAATTCTGGGATCTCCAGATGGATCTGGAGACCCCAAAACTGGGAGGGGCAGATCTGGGGTCTGTGGATGGCACTGGAGATCCCAAAAATGGAATGGGAAGTTCTGGAATCCACGGATGCAAGTGGATACCCCAAAAAAATGGGAAGAGCAGTTCTGGGATCCATGGTTGGGGCTGGAGATCCCAAAAATGGAATGGGAAGTTCTGGAATCCACGGATGCAAGTGGATACCCCAAAAAAATGGGAAGAGCAGTTCTGGGATCTATGGTTGGGGCTGGAGATCCCAAAACTGGGAAGGGAAGTTCCGGGATCTGTGGATGGGGCTGGAGATCCCAAAAATGGGAAAGGAAGTTCTGGGATCTGTGGATGGGGCTGGACGCCCCAGAATTGGGAAGGGAAGATCTGGGATCCATGGATGGACTTGGAGATCCCAAAATTGGGAAGTTCTGGGATCCATAGATGGAGTTAGAGGTCCCAGGATTGGGAAGGGCAGTTCTGGGATCCATGGATGGAGCTGGAGATCCCAAAATTGGGAAGGGCAGATCTGGGATCCATGGATGCAGCTGGGGATCCCAAATTGGGAACGGAAGTTCTGGGATCTGTGGATGGGGCTGGAGATCCAAAAATTGGGAAGTCTCCTGAGATCCCAAAAATGGGAAGGGCAGTTCTGGGATGCATGGATGGAGACGTCAGTTCCAGGATCCAGGTTTGATTTTTGAGGACCTAAAAATGGGAAGGGCAATTCCAGGGCGAAGGTTTGGTTTCCCAAGATCCCAAAAATGGAAGGGCAATTCTGGGATCTCCAGATGGATCTGGAGACCCCAAAACTGGGAGGGGCAGATCTGGGGTCTGTGGATGGCACTGGAGATCCCAAAAATGGAATGGGAAGTTCTGGAATCCACGGATGCAAGTGGATACCCCAAAAAAATGGGAAGAGCAGTTCTGGGATCCATGGTTGGGGCTGGAGATCTCAAAACTGGGAAGGGAAGTTCCGGGATCTGTGGATGGGGCTGGAGATCCCTAGATTGGGAAGGGCAGTTCTGGGATCCCATTTTGGTTCCTGAGATCCCAAAATTGGGAAGAGCAGTTCCGGGATCCGTGGTTGCTTCCCAAGGACCCAAAACCAAGGAGAAGATCCATCCATGATCCATCTCCCACCTCCAGGGACATTCCCTGTAGGATCAGTCAAGGGTTCCTCCAGCTCCCGCTGCCTTTGGGAATGTTGGAGATCCCTCTCCCACCCTTGGCACCGGGCCCAGAGGCCGCATTCCCGCTTTTCCCAAAGTGGATTTGGAAAACCCCGGCTGGGATCCGCTCCATCCTGGAGACCTCCATCCCCCACCTCAGGATTCCTGGGAAAACCCCAAATTTTTCCCAGAAACGCGGTGTCTCCTCACCCCGAGGAGATCCCCAGAAACCTCTGGTTGGTCTCCTAACCCCACCAGATTCCCGGGAAGGGATTCCCGAGGGATTCACGGCCCTTTTCCCGCCGGCAGGTGAAGGAGGACTGGAAGTACGTGGCCATGGTGATCGACCGGATCTTCCTGTGGATGTTCATCATCGTCTGCCTGCTGGGCACCGTGGGGCTCTTCCTGCCGCCCTACCTGGCCGGGATGATCTAGGATCCGGCTGGGATGCCGTGGGAATGGTGGGAATGGCGGGAATGGCGGGAATGGTGGTGGCCGCATCCCGCCGGATGCTGGTGGGGACGTGGAGCTGTGGGGAATCTCCGGTGGGTGGAGAAGGGGATGGGGTGAGGGGTGGCCTTGGGATGATGTGGGATATGGACGTGATCCCGTGATCCCACCATCCCAGGAAGTTGTGGGAGAGGGATAAGGTTTTGGATGGTCCGTGCAGAAGGGACACGGACGTGATCCCATAATCCCATGATCCCATAATCCCATGATCCATAATCCCATGATCCCAATCCCACACGATCCCCGGAAATTGTGGGACAGGGATAATGCTGTGGATGGTCCGTGCAGAGGGGACATGGACATGATCCCATAATCCCATGATGCCATCATCCTGTGATCCCACAATCCCAGGAAGTTGTGGGACAGGGATAAGGTTTTGGATGGCCCGTGCAGAAGGGACGTGGACATGATCCCATAATCCTGTGATCCCAGGAAGTTCTGAGACAAGGATTATGTGGATGGTTATGCAGAAGGGACATGGACATGATCCCCTAATCCCATAATCCCATGATCCCAGGAGGTCATAGGACAGGAATAAGGGTTTGGATGGTCCGTGCAGAAGGGATTTGGACATGATCCGATAATCCCATAATCCCATCATCCCATGATCCCACAATTCCCGTGATCCCAGGAGGTCATGGGACAGGGACAGCACTTGGGATTGTCTGTGCAGAAGGAACACGGACAAGATCCCATAATCCCATGAACCCATAATCCCCTGATCCCACCATCCCACATGATCCCAGGAGGTCATGGGACAGGAATAAGGGTTTGGATGGTCCGTGCAGAAGGGATTTGGACATGATCCCATAATCCCATCATCCCATCATCCTGTGATCCCTGGAAACTGTGGGACAGGGATAACACTTTGTGTTGTCCATGCAGAAGGAACATGGACATGATCCCATGATCCCAAAATCCCAGGAGGTCATGGGACAGGGATAACACTTTGGATTGTCCGTGCAGAAGGGATATGGACAGGATCCCATAATCCATAATCCCATTATTTTACCATCCCACCATCCCAGGAGGTCATGGGACAGGAATAACACATGATCCCTTAATTCCATCATCCTATAATCCCATGATCCCAGGAAGCTGTGGGACTGGGATAACACTTTGGGATTATCCATGCAGAAGGAACACAGATGTGATCCCATAATCTCATGATCCCACAATCCCAAGATCCCGGGAGGTCCCTGCTCCTCCCAGGTGTTTCCCTTCTCCAAGCCTCCAGACCAAGCAGCTTCTTCCCACCCCATCCCACACTGGAACTCGGCCTGGAAATGGGAACATCCTGGAAATTGGGGTGGCTTTGATGGGAAAACCCACCTGGACAATTCCCATGGATCCTGGGATCTCCAAGAATCTCCTGGGATCTCCACCACCTTTGGCTGGAACAGCAGGAATCCGCGCTCCTGGATCCATCCCAATCCTCCCCATCCCACCTCAGATCCCAAATTTTCCCAGCTCTGAGATCCAGCTTTTCATTCCCAGCTTCCATAAATCCTCCAGACCCCTGGGAGCACCTTCCCCATTTTTCCGCACTCTTGAGAAACACCGGGATTTTTCCCGGCAGAAGGAGCGCAGACATGATCCCACGATCCCAAAATCCCAGGAGGTCCCTGCTCCTCCCAGGAGATTTTTCCCGGCCCGTTTTCCCTCCTGGAGCACGACCGGGAAGATTTCAGGGAATGCTTGGAGCACTCTGGAGTGAAGTCACCCGGAATTAACGGGGACACGGAAGGACAGGCACATCCCGAGGGTGTCCCTGCCGCTTCCGGAGCCTCCAGAGCTGCCGGACAGACGGATCAGGCGCGGGGACACCTGGGGGGAGTGTCCAAGCAGGATCAGGCCAGGATCTCCTGGATACGGAGAGGGATTTCCCAGGAAGGTCGTGGCTGGTTCGGTTGGAGCTGCGTCGCTCCGGGGGGATGGGTTCTACCAGGACACTGGTAAAATCTGGGAATTATGGAATTATCTGGGTTGGGAAAGCTCTTGGAGATGGAGTCCAAGCGTTCCCAGCGCTGCCGAAGCCACCCCTGACCCGTGTCCTACCAAATCCACATGGAATTAAATCCATCCAGGAACGGGGACTCCACCACTGCCCAGGACTGGGAAACCCTTTCCATGAAGGGATTATTCCCAAAATCCCATAAATCATTCCCAACATCCCATAAACCTCCCCCGGCACAGCTGGAGGCCGCTCCCTCTCACCCCATCCCTCATTCCCTGGGAGAAGATCCCGATCCCACCCGGCTCCACCCTCCTGGCAGGGAATTCCAGAGGGAGAAGCTCCCTCTGAATCCTCATTTTTTTCCAGGATTTTTCCCAGCTCCAGCTGCTCCATTCCCTTCCCAGAACACCCTCCAGCCCCTCCAAATCCTTGGAATGAGAGGTCACCACCCCAAAATCTGGGGTGGGTGGCCCCAAATGTGGCCTTGACCCCTCCACCCTTTTTTGGGAAAGCCCCACTTTGGGCATTCCCAAAAACGCTCATCCCATTCCATTCCCGCCATCCCAGGAAGTCTCCAACCATCCCAACCATTCCTCTTCCCAAGGAAACCACTCCTCTTCCCACGGAAATTCCAAGGGAACAACAGGAAGGACAGGCCATGGCAGGATTTGGCGCACAGTTTATCCAAGCCGGGGGGAAAAAAAAAAATAAAATTTGGGAAAACTGCGGGGAAAACGCTGGGGAAAAGCCCGAATCGCCCGGTTCCCAACCGGAAGCACAAACCCCGCCGGAGCCGCGCGGTTTTGCCGGCGGCGCTCACACAAAACTTGGGAATAACGCAGCTGGGAGAGGCAACGTTCTCCAGGTTCGTGTCCCTTCCCAAGGCCGCCATCCGTGGGGGGGCCCATCCCTCCCCCAATTCCGAAGGCTCCGGAAGCGGCTCCCGCTCGCCGTCGTTAAATAAACTCTTCTGTACAACGTCCAAGGGGAAAACGCCGGCGGGAATTCCGGCTCCCCCCAAAATCCGTGCGCCCTCGGCTCCCGGCACGCTCCAGGTCCCCGTCCCGCCGTGCCGCCCGCGGCCATCCGCGCTCAGAGCATGGATCCATGGATGCGCCGAGATGGATCCCGCCGGATCCTCCCCCCCACCAAAACCCCCCTTTTTTTCCAAGGAAAAAAAACCCCAAACCCCCATTTTTTTTTTTCCAAGGAAAACCCCACCGGATGCCTCCCGTCTTCCGAAGAGCGACGCGACACTGACAGACACGAGGCGGCTGCAGGAGGAGCGGGAAGAGGGAGAGCGGGAAAAAACCACGGGAGACGCCGCGCCAAGCCGACTCCTCCCGGATCCGGAGTTTTCCGCCTCATTCCGAGCACGGCTTGACCAGCTCGGCCTGGAGCTTGGCCTGGTCCACGGCGTCCAGAAGGTTCTTGGCGTCCACGGCCAGGGCGTGGGAGGCCGTCAGCATCTGCCGCTGGAATTCCGCGCTCAGGGAAGTGCCGGAATTCTGCTGCGCCAGGCGCATCTTGCTGATGAGGTTGGCCAGGTCCTTGTTGAGGAGCTTCTGGGTGCCCTCGATCTGGGAGGGGTTTTTTCAGGAAATTCCAGGTTTTTTTCGGGAAAATTCCTGGAATTCTCAGGGCGGGGTTTTCGGGAATGTCATCCCCCCACCCACCCCGTTGCCGGCGTTCCTACCTCGGTGCGGGAAGAGGACGGAAGGTTGGGAAGGATGTCGTCGACGCTCCCGATGAGCTTCCGTAGGGAAAGGCCAATGTTCTGCGGGAAGGAAGGGTTGGGATGGATCCAGGCATGGATCCAGGCATGGATCCAGGCATGGATTCCTGGTGGGAATAGTTTGGGCGGCGGAGGGGAGGGTTCCGTCCGGGAGAGTGGAGTGGTGCGAGAATCTCCAACCGCTGAGCCAAGATGGAGCTGGGAATGTGGGAATTGCTCCCAACATGGATCCAAGGGAGGAGTTGGGAATGTGGGAATCGCTCCCACCGTGGATCCCAGGATCCAAGGGAGGAGTTGGGAATGTGGGAATCGCTCCCAACGTGGATCCCAGGATCCAGGGAGGAGCTGGGAATGCTGGGATTGCTCCCACCATGGATCCCAAGATCCAAGGGAAGAACAGGGAATTGGTTCAAGGACCCCAAGGAGGAGCAAGGACCATGGGAATCGCTCCCACCATTGATCCAAGGATCCAATGGAGCAGCTGGGAATGCTGGGATTGCTCCCACCATGGATCCAAGGATCCAAGGGAGCAACAGGGAATTGGTTCAAGGATCCCAGGGAGGAGCTGGGAATGCTGGAGTTGGTCCCACCATTGATCCAAGGATCCAATGGAGGAGCTGGGAATGTGGGAATTGCGTCCCACCATGGATCCAAGGATCCAGGGAAGGAGCTAGGAATTGGTTCAAGGATCCCAGGGAGGAGCAGGGAATGCTGGGATTGCTCCCACCATTGATCCAAGGATCCCAAGAAGGAGCAGGGAATGCTGGGAATTGCTCCCATCCTGGATCCCAAGATCCAAGGGAGCAACAGGGAATGTTGGAGATTCCACCACTGATCCAAGGATCATGGGAGGAGCTGGGAATGTGGGAATTGGGTCCCACCCTTGATCCAAGGATCCAATGGAGGAGCTGGGAATGCTGGAATTGGTCCCACCACGGATCCCAAGATCCAAGGGAGGAACAGGGAATGTTGGAGATTCCACCATTGATCCAAGGGAGGAGCTGGGAATGTGGGAATTGGGTCCCACCATGGATCCAAGGATCCAAGGAAGGAGCTGGGAATTGGTTCAAGGATCCCAAGGAGGAGCAGGGAATGCTGGGATTGCTCCCACCATGGACCTAAGTGAGCAACAGGGAATGTTTGAGATTCCACCGTTGAACCAATGATCATGGGAGGAGCTGGGAATGTGGGAATTGGGTCCCACCATGGATCCAAGGACCCAACAGAGGAACAGGGAATGTTGGGGACTCCACCATTGATCCAAGGATTCAATGGAGCAGCTGGGAATACTGGGATTGCTCCCACCATGGATCCAACAGAGGAACAGGGAATGCTGGGGACTCCGCCATTGATCCGAGGACCCAACGGAGGAGCAGCCGGAAATTCGGGAATCGCTCCCTGTCACGGACACACCCCCTTCCCAAGATGGCAGGAGCCGCTCAGGAGGCTGATTCCCACCTCCCTCTCCCGCCGTCCAGGGCATTCCAGGGAATTCCCGCCTACCTTGACCACCAGGATGTATCCCTCGGGGGGCACCTGGCTGATCTGGTTCTTCAGCTGCAGCACGGCCCGCACCAGATCCATGACATTCCCGTAGACCGGATCGTCCGTGCGGTCCAGGTTGGCCGTGGGCGCCGGCTGGATGGACTGAGGGGAAACCGCGACAATGGGATCAGAAATCCCGGGAAAAGCGGGGGAAGATCGACGTCTTCCCCTGGTGGAAGGCGGGATGGGGCTTGGGGCGACCTGGGAGAGGGGAATAATTCCATGCCCATCCCGAGGTTTCCAGGTGGGAATTCCGGGATGGGAATTGGTGGGAACTCACTGTAATCCGTCTCCTTCTCCGGGAGAAGCTGAGGAAGGGAGAAAAAACGGGAATTAGAGGCCCCAGAATTCGGGATGGAGGGAGGGAAGAGGGAGGAGGAGCCCCAAAATTTGGGATGGAAGGAGGGAAGAGGGAGGAGGCGTCGCCATTCCCTGCTGGAATGTCGGGAAGGATCCTGGGATGCAACACCCCCACCTCGGGATTTCCCGTTTTCCGGATAATTTTCCCAAATAAAGGAATAAATATTGATCAGAAAGGGAAGGAGGAGGTGCTGGATATTCCCAAAAAAGTCTGGGATGACTCACCGGGGGAATGTTGTTGTTCAGGAACACCTTGGGATCCTGGAAAAGGGGGGAAGATGGCGTGAGGTGGGGGAAAATGGGGAAAAATGGGGGAAAAAGTGGGAAAATGGGGAAAAAAGGGGGGAAAAGTGGGAAAATGGGGGAAAAAGGAGGGAAAAGGGGAAAAAAGGGGGGGAAATGGGGAAAAAGAGGGGGGAAAAGGGGAAAAATGGGGAAAAGAGGAGGGGAATAAAGGAGGGAGAAAGGGGGAAAAGGGAGAAAGGGAGAAAAAGGAAAAAAGGGAAGGAAAATGAGAAAAAAAGGAGGAAAAGTGGAAGAAAAAGGGGGTAAAGGGAAAAAAGGGGGGAAAGGAGGAAAAAGTGAGAACGAGAAGAATAAAGGAAGGGAAAAGAGGAAAATGGGGGAAAAAGGAGGAAAAGGGATAAAGAGAAGAATAAAGTGCAGAAAAAGGGGAGGAAAAAGGGGAAAAATAGGTAAAAAAGGAGGGAAAAGGAGGGAAAGGAGGAAAAAAGGAGAAAAAAGGGAAATGAAAGGGAAAGGGGGAAAAGGAAAAAGGGAGAATGAGGGAAAAAAGGGGGAAGATGGGAGGAAAAAGGGAGAAAAGGAAGGGAAAGCGGGGAAAAGGGGAAAATGGAAGAATAAAGGGAGGGAAAAGGAAAAGAGAAAAAGAGGGCAAAAGAGGAAAAAAGGAGAAAAAGGGAAATGGGAGGAAAAAAGGTGGAAAATGAGGAGAAAGGGGAGGGAAATGAAAAGAGGGGGTAAAAGGAAGGGAAAAATGTGGAAAAGGGAAAAAAGGGAAGAATAAAGGGAGAAAAAAGAGGAAAAGGGAAAAAAGGGGGAAAGCAGGGGAAAATGGGGAAAAAGGAAAAAGGGAGGAATGTGGGGGGAAATGGGGAAAAGAAGGGGAAAAGAAGGGGAAAGGGAGAAAAAGGGAAATAATGAGAAAAAGGGAAGAATAAATGGGGGGAAAGTGGAAAAGGGGGGGAAAGGGAAAAAGGGGGGGAAAAGGGGAAAAAAGGGGGGGAAATGGGGAAAAGAAGGGGAAAAGAAGGGGAAAGGGAGAAAAAGGGAAATAATGAGAAAAAGGGAAGAATAAATGGGGGGGAAGTGGAAAAGGGGGGGAAAAGGGGAAAAAAGTGGGGAGAATGAGGTGAGGAGGAAAAGGAGAGACCTTGGGAAGGAATTCCCGGCTGGGCTGGAATTCCCAGAGAATCCCTGGCAGTGTCCCAGGAAAGGTTGGAGCAGCCTGGGAGGGTGGGGTGGGAATGGGATGGGATTGAAGGTCCATGGATCCCATCCCAAACCATTCCGGGATTCTGGGGAATGGGGGGGGGTGGAGGGGAGGGAGGAAATGGGGGGAAGGAGGAAAAGGGGAAAATGGGGGAAAATGGGTGGAAATGGGTGGAAATGGGGGAAAATGGGGAAAAAGGGGGCAAGGGGAAATGGGGGGAAAGGGGGAAAGGTGAAAATGGAGGAAAAGGGGGAAAAATAGGGGGGAAAAGGAGGGAAAAGGGGAAAAAAGGAGAAAAGGGAGAATAGGAAGAAAAGGGGGAAAAGGAGAAAATGGGGGGAAATGAGGATAAAGAGGGAAAGGGGGAAAAGGGGAAATGGGGAAAAAGTGGGGGAAAGGAGAAATGGGGAAAAGGGGGGAAATGGGAAAAAGGAGAAAAAGGGGGAAAGGGGGAAAATAGGGAAAAATGAGTAAAAAGGAGAAAAGGGAGAATAGGAAGAAAAGGGGGGAAAGGAGAAAATGGGGATAAAGGAGGAAAAAGGGGGAAAAGGGGAAAGGGTGGGGTAAAGGGTAAAAGGGGAAAAAGGGGAAAAAAGGAGAAAAGGGGGGAAAATAGGGAAAAAATTAGAAAATATGAGAAAAGGGAGAATCAGAAGAAAAGGGGGAAAGGAGAAATGGGGGGAAATGGGGATAAAGGGGGAAAGGGGAAAAGAAGGGGAAAAAGGGAAAACTGGGGAGAAACGGGAGAATAGGGAGAAAATGGGAAAAGTGGGGGAAAGGGGGAAAATGGGGAAAAAAGGGGAGAAAAAAGGGAAAAAGAGGGGAAAGGCAGAAAAGGGGGGAAAATGAGAAAAAAAAGGAGAAAAAGGAGACTAGGAAAAATAGGGGGAAAAGAAGAGAATGGGGGGAAATAGAGATAAAGGGGGGAAAAGGGGAAAGGGAGAAAAAGGGGGGAAATGGGGGAAAATGAGAAAAAAGGAGAAAAGGGAGAATAGGAAGGAAAGTGGGAAAAGGAGAAAATTGGGGGAAAATGGGGATAAAGGGGAAAAGGGAAAAAGGGGAAAAAAGGGGGGAAAATGAGAAAAAAGGAGAAAAGGGAGAATAGGAAGGAAAGTGGGAAAAGGAGAAAATTGGGGGAAAATGGGGATAAAGGGGAAAAGGGAAAATGGGGAAAAAAAAGTGGGGGAAAGGGGGGAAAGGGGGAAAATGGGGAAAAAAGGGGAAAGGCTGGGGGAAAGGGGAAATGGGGAAAAAAGGGGAGGAAAGGGGAAAAAGGGGGAAAAGGCTGAAAAGGGGGGAAAATAAGAAGAAAAGAAGAAAAGTGAGAATAGGAAGAAAAGGGAGAAAATGGGGATAAAGGTGGAAAAGGGAAAAGAAGGAAAAAAAGGGGAAACTGGGGAGAAAAGGGAGAATGGGGAAAAAATGGGAAAAGAGGGAAAATGGGGGGAAAGGGGAAAAAGGAGAATAGCAAGAAAAATGGCAAAGGGGAAAGGGGGGAAAGGAGAAAAAGGGGGGGAAAGGGGATAAGAGGAAAAGGGGGAAAATGAGAAATAAGAGAAAAAAAAGGGGGAAATGGGGATAAAGGGGAGAAAAGGAGCTAAAAGGGAAGGGGAAGGAGAGATAAAAGGAGAAAAAGTGTGAAAAATCGGGATAAAGAGGAGAAAAGGGAAGAAAAGGGGAAAAGGGAGAATGGCGGGAAAAAAGGAGAAGAGGAGATGAAAGGGGGGAAAAAGGAGAAAAAAGGAGAAAAAATGAGGGAAATGGGGAGAAAAGGAGAGAGTAACGAAGAAAATGGGTAAAGGGGGGAAAAAGGAGAAATAAAGGAGAAAAAGGGGGAAAACAGGATAAAGGGGGCAAAAGGGGAGAAAAGGGAAGAACAAGAAAAAAGGGAAGAGGGGGGAAACGGGAAAATGAGGAGAAAAAGGGGGAAAAGGGGGGAAAATGGGGAAAAAGAGGGAAAAGGTGGAAAAGCGGGAAAAATGAGAAAAAAAGGAGAAAAGGGAGAATAGGAAGAAAAGGGGGAAAAGGAGAAAATTGGGGGGGAAATGGGCATAAAGCAGAAAAGGGGAAATGGGGGAAAAGTGGGGGAGAGGAGAAATGGGGGAAAAGGGGGAAAAAGGGGGAAATGGGGAAAATGGGGAAAAAATAGGCGGGAAAAGGGGAGGAAAGGGGAAAATAGGGGTAAGTGGGGAGAATAGGGAGGAAAATGGGAAAAGTGGGGGAAAGGGGGAAAGGGGAAAGGGAGGGGGAAAAGGGGGAAAAAGGGGGAAATGGGGAAAATGGGGAAAAAATAGGCGGGAAAAGGGGAGGAAAGGGGAAAATAGGGGTAAGTGGGGAGAATAGGGAGGAAAATGGGAAAAGTGGGGGAAAAGGGGGAAAAGGGGAAAGGGTGGAGGGAAAGGGGAAATGGGGAAAAAGGGGGAAAGTGGAAAAAGAGGAAAAGGAGGAAAAAGGGGAAAAGGAGAAAAAAGGTGAAACTGGGCAGAAAAGGGAGAATAGGGAGAAAAAAGGGGAAAAGGGGGAAAATGGGGAACAAGAGGAAAATGGGGATAAAGGGGGGAAAAGGGGGAAATGGGGAAAAAGGGGAGAAAAGGGGAGAATAGCAAAGAAAATGGGAAAGGGTGAAAAGGGAAAAAGGGGAAAAAAGCAGAAAAAAGAAGAAAAAGGGGGGAAAACAAGATGAAGGGGGCAAAGGGGGAGAAAAGGGAACAAGAAGAAAAAAGGGAAGGGGGAAAATGGGAAAATGAGGAGAAAAAGGGTGAAAATGGGGAGAAAAGGGGAAAAAGGGGAAAATTGGGAAAAGAACGTGAAAGGGGGAAAAGGTGGGAGAAAAAGAGGGAAAAATTGTGGGGGAAAAGGTAGGGAAAAAGAGGGAAAAAACGGAGGGGAAAAAGGAAGAAAATGGGAAAAAGGAGGGTAAAATTGGTGGGAAAAATGGGGAAAAGTAGGGAAAATTAGGAAAAAATAGGGAAATTGGATTTCCAGCAAGGAGAGGCAACCACGGCATTCCCGGCACACCAGCTCGGAACATCCCAACTCCCAGGAGAAACTTTGGGATCACAACCAGCTGGAAAATCCCCCTCCGGAATTTCAGGCGGGATCCCAAGGCGGAGTGCGAGGAGCTCCCAAAAACCCATTCCATGCTTGTTTTTTGGGAATACCATCCCAAAAATATCCAGGATACCGGGAGGGAAAACATGGAGATGTCCCAAAGATCGGGATGGGATTCCGTTGGGAATGGGATTTGACCATCCCACAGCATCCAACGGATCCAACATGGAGCAGGGAGCAGCGGGAAGCAGCGGGAAGCAGCGGCGGGAAGCGCATCCCAAAAATGGGATGGATTTTTGAGGATTGGGAAGGCCTCCGGATGCCGAATCCCAATGGGACACGAATCCCAATGGATCCCAACAGGACAATTTTTGAGGACTGGGAAGGTCTCCAGATGCCAAATCCCAACGGGAAATGGATCCAAACGAGACAATTTTTGAGGATTGGGAAGACCTCTGGATGCCAAATTCCAACTGGATGAAATTTGAGGATCGGGAATTCCTCCGGATGCCAAATCCCAATGGATCCCAGCAAGACAATTTTTGAGGATTGGGAAGGCCTCCAGATGCCAAATCCCAATGGGAAGTGGATCCCAAAGACAGGAGGATTTTTGAGGATTGGGAAGGCCTCCAGATGCCAAATCCCAATGGAAGTGGATCCAAATGAGAAAATTTTTGAGGATTGGGAAGACCTCTGGATGCTGAATCCCAGTGGGAAGTGGATCCCAATGGACCTCAACAACGGGAGGATTTTTGAATATTTGGAAGACCACTGGATGCTGAATCCCAATGGGAAGAAGATCCCCAAAACGAGATGGTTTTTGAGGATTGGGAAGGCCTCCAGATGCCAAATCCCAGTGGGAAGCACATCCCAAAAACAGGACAATTTTTGAGGATTGGGAAGGTCTCCACATGCCAAATCCCAATGGGAAGTGGATCCCGATGGATTCCAACATTGGGATGATTTTTGAGGATTGGGAAAGCCTCCGGATGGTGAATCACAACAGGAAGCAGATCCCAACAACGGGACAAATTTGGAAGATTGGGAAGGCCTCCAGATGCCAAATGCCAATGGGAAATGGATCCAAACGAGACTATTTTTGAGGACTGGGAAGACCTCTGGATGCCGAATCCCAGTGGGAGATTTTTGAGGATTGGGAAGGTCTCCAGATGCCAAATCCCAATGGGAAGTGGATCCAAACGAGAGAATTTTTGAGGACTGGGAAGGCCTCTGGATGCCGAATCCCAGTGGGACGATTTTTGAGGATTGGGAAGGTCTCCAGATGCCAAATCCCAACGGGAAATGGATCCAAACGAGACAATTTTTGAGGACTGGGAAGACCTCTGGATGCCAAATCCCAACGGGATGATTTTTTGAGGATTGGGCAGACCCACATATGATGAATTCCAATGGGAAGTGCATCCCCAAAACAGGAAGATTTTTGAGGATTGGGAAGGCCTCTGGATGCTGAATCCCAGCTGGAAGAGGATCCCAACAGAGGGACGGTTTTTGAGGAGTAGGAAGGTCTCCAGGTGGCAAATCCCAAAAACAGGATGGATTTTGAGGATTTTGAGGATTGGGAAGGCCTCCGGATGCCGAATCCCAATGGGAAGCGGATCCTAATGGGAAAATTTTTGAGGATTGGGTAGACCCCCCCAGATTGTGAATTCTAGCAGGAAGTGGATCCCAACAATGGGAGGATTTTTGAGGATTGGGAGGATCTCTGGATGCTGAATCCCAGTGGGAAGAGGATCCCAAAACGGGAAGAGTTTTTGAGGATTGGGAATTCCTCTGGACGCCAAATCCCAGTGGGACAATTTTTGAGGATTGGGTAGACATCCATGTGGTGAATCCCAACAGGAATTGCATCCCAAAAACAGGACAGTTTTTGAGGATTGGGGAGGCCTCCAGCTGCCAAATCCCAACAGGAAGAGAATCCCAACAACGGGACAGTTTCTAAGGATTGGGAAGGCCTCTGGACGACGATTTCCAATGGGAAGAGCATTCCAAAAATGGGAAGATTTTTGAGGATTGGGAAGGCCTCCAAATGCCAAATCCCAACAGGAAGCCGATCCAAACGAGACAATTTTTGGGGTCTGGAAAGACCTCCGGAATCCCAATGGAAAGCAGATCCCAAAAACAGAACAATTTTTGAGGATTGGGAAGGTCTCCAGATGGTGAATCCCAACAGGAAGTGCATCCCAAAACCAGGATGATTTTTGAGGATTGGGAACGCCTATGGAGGGTGAATCCCAATGGGAAGGGCATCCCAAAAATGGGAAGATTTTTGAGGATTGGGAATTCCTCCAGATGCTGAATCCCAACAGGCAGCAGAATCTCAAAATGGGACAATTTTTGAGGATTGGGAAGGCCTTCAGATCCCAAATCCCAATGGGAAGTGCATCCCAACAACGGGATGATTTTTGAGGATTGGGAAGGCCTTCGGATCCCAAATCCCAGTGGGAAGAGAATCCCAACAACGGGATGATTTTTGAGGATTGGGAAAACCTCTGGATCCCAAATCCCAACGAGAAGCGGATCCCAACAACGGCACGATTTTTGAGGATCGGGAATTCCTCCGGACGCCGAATCCCAGCGGGAATTCCGGGCTTACCCTCATGCTGTGGCGCTTGAAGACGTTGTGCCGGCTGGGAGGCGGAGTGCGCCGGGAATTTGCCGGAGTCTGGTACTCGGCGGGACTGGCGAGGGTGGGAGAGCTGGCACAGAGCCCCTCCGGAACCTGGGAATTCGGGAATTGCGCGGGAGCGGCGGCGGGAGCGGCGCAGGAGCGAGAGAAGCCCGCGGGAAGGGGTTAGTGCGGACACACGGACGGAGCAGGAGCGCGGGAAGAGCGGGAATTGCATCAGGAGGCATCCCGGGATTGGGATCGGCCTCGTCCTAAAAGTGGCTCTGGGATACTTTGGGATATTTTGGGATATTTGGGGTATTTTGGGATATGTTGGAATATTTGGGGGTATTTTAGGATATTTTGGGATATTTTTGAATATCCTGGCCTCCAAAGAGTGGGAATTGTGCCACGAGCTGTCCCAGGATTGGGATTGGCCTCATCCTAAAAGTGGGCTTGGAATATTTTGGGCTATTTTGGTATATTTTGGGATATTTTGGAGTATTTTAGGATATTTTGGGATATTCTGGCCTCCAAAGAGTGGGAATTGTCCCAGGATCGGGATTGGCCTCATCCTAAAAGTGGGCTTGGGATATTCTGGGCTATTTCAGAATATCTTGGCATATTTTGGGATATGTTGGCATATTTTGGGATATTTCAGGATATTTTGGGACATTCTGGCCTCCAAAGAGCGGGAATTGCTCCGGAAGCTGTCCTGGGATTGGGATCAGCCTCACCCTAAAAGTGGACTTGGAATACTCTGGGATATTTTGGGATATGTTGGAATATTTTGGGATATTTTGGAATATTTTGGGGTATTTTGGGATATTCTGGCCTCTGAAGAACAGGAATTGTGCCCAGAGCCGTCCTGGGATCAGGATCGGCCTTGTCCTAAAAGTGAGCTTGGGATATTTTGGGATATTTGGGATATTTTGGAATATTTTGGGGTATTTTATGATATTTTGGGATATTTTTGAATATTCTGGCCTCCAAAGAGCGGGAATTGCATGAGGGGCCCTCCCGGATCAGGATTGACCTTGTCCTAAAAGTAGGCTTGGAATATTTTGGGATGTTTTGGGATATTCTGGAATATTTTGGAATATTTTGTAACATTTTGGGATATTCTGGCCTCCGAAGAGCGGGAATTGTGCTGGGAACCATCCCCGGATTGGGATCGGCCTCGTCCTAAAAGTGGGCTTGGAGTATTTTGGGATATTTTGAAATGTTTGGGGATATTTTGGGATCTTTTTGGAATATTCTGCCCTCAGAGCAGCAGAATTGTGCCGCTCAGGATATTTTGGGATATTTTGGGATATTTTGGGATATTCTGGTATAATCTGGCCTCTGAAGAGTGGGAATTGCGCCGGGAGCAATTCTGGAGCAGGATTGGCCCTGTCCTAAAAGTGGGCTTGGAATATTTTTGGATATTTTGGGATATCCTGGCCTCCAAAGAGTGGGAATTGTGCCAGGAGCCACCCCCGGATTGGGATTGGCCTCATCCTAAAAGTGGGCTTGGAACATACTGAGGTTTTTTTGGGATATTTTGGAATATTCTGGAATATTCTGGCCTCCGAAGAGCGGGAATTGCACCAGGAGCCATCCCCGGGATTGGGTTCATCCTAAAAGTGGGCTTGGGATATTATGGGACATTTTGGGACATTTGGAATAACTCCTGCATGGAAAACCCCTCCAGCCCTGGACAGCGGTGGGTGAATCCCCGGAATTCCTGGATGGATTCAAATCCACGTGGATTCTGGTGGGGGGACGCGGATCCGGGGTGGGATTGGATGGACTCCGAGGTCTCCAAGAGCTTTTCCAACCTCAACAATTCCGGGATTCCCTGACGGACACAACCCGGAGCCGGAAGCACCTCCGATCCCAAAATCCACAGGATTCCCGGGATCTCCCATCCTCACCCCCACCCGCCGGCGCCCAAATCCTGGAATTCCTCACCTGGAATTGCAGCTTGGGAGCCAGGAGGTTATTCTGGGATGGCGGCTTGTACATGGGCCTGCTGGGCTGCGGGAATGGGGAAAAAAAGGCGGGAATTCCTCCGGATCCCGTCCGGCAAATCCCAAATTTGCGCGCCGCCGAGGCCCCGCCCCTTCCCAACCTTGGGAGGCGGCTCCTGGAATGCCGTCGGCTCCAGGATTTTGGGAGGGCGGTGCCGGTTGTTCTTCTCCTGCTCCTTGGCCAGCTCCTTCTCCATCAGGTAAATGTCACTGCGGGGAGGGGACGCGGCGGTGACGATCCCGGGAATTCCCGCCTTGGAGACCCTTTGGAGGGTTTCATTTCCCCGCAAAGGCTCTGAAGCCAAACTTTTCCGTAAAAATTCCCTATTCCAAGCTTTTCCCAGCTTCCTCCTCCACATTCCCACCTCTCCATCCCACTCCAGAATTCCCAGCCTTGGAGGCCCTTTGGAGTGTTTTGATTCCCAGGAAAGGCTCTGAACCCCAACTTTTCCATAAAAACTCCCAGTCCCACACTTTTCCCAGATTTTTCTTCCAGATTCCCAGAAATCCATCTCTCCATGGATCCTCCAGAATTCCCAGCCTTGGAGACCCTTTGGAGCGTTTCGCTTCCTGGGAAAGGCTCTAAACCCAAATTTTTCCACAAAAACTGCCAACCTTTTCCAAGATTTTTCCCCCCAACATTCCCACCCCTTCCATGGTTCCTCCAGCATTCCAGGCTCACCTCAGGCTGCAGAACAGCTCCTGGAATTTGGGATTGGAGGAGCCTTGGAGACCCTCTGGAGACCCTTTCCCAGGAAGCGAAGCCCTTCCAATCCCATCCCCTTCCAAAGGGTCTCCAAGGCTCCTCCAAGCCCAAACTTTTCCATAAAATCTCCTGATCCGAAGTTTTTTCCAGCTTCTTCCTCCACATTCCCACCTCTCCATCCCACTCCAGAATTCCCAGCCTTGGAGGCCCTTTGGAGTGTTTTGATTCCCAGGAAAGGCTCTGAACCCCAACTTTTCCATAAAAACTCCCAGTCCCACACTTTTCCCAGATTTTTCTTCCAGATTCCCAGAAATCCATCTCTCCATGGATCCTCCAGAATTCCCTTTGGATTTGGAGTGTTTTGCCTCCTGGGAAAGGGTCTAAACCCAAACTTTTCCCTAAAAATCCCCGACCCCATCCTTTTCCAAGATTTTTTTCCCCCCAGTATTCCCACCCCTGCCATGGTTCCTCCAGCATTCCGGGCTCACCTCAGGCTGCAGACCAGCTCCTGGAATCTGGGCCTCTCCCCGGGATCGTAGTCCCAGCAGCGCGTCATGAGCGTGTAGAGCACGGGCGGGCACAGGTCGGGCTTGGGAAGCCGATCCCCCCTTTCCAGGACTCCGATCACGTCCTTGTTTTCCAGCCAGAAGAACGGCTGCTTCCCGTAGCTCAGGATCTCCCACATGCACACGGCTGCGGGAGCGACCCGGACAACCTCAGGCCACCGGAATTCCCGGGAATCCGCCCCTTCCCGGGTTTTTTTTTTTTTTTGGGATCTGGTAGCGCTTTGTGGTGGAATTCCTGATTCCAGAGGGGCTGGAGACCGGGATTTTTTGGAGTGGGGAGAGTTTAGCTCATCGCAAAACTTCCCTGAAATCCCTGGACGAGGAGGAGGAAGCACCTGGAATCTGGATGGGCGAATGGAAGCCCTTCCCTAGGATGGCTTCTCCCAGGGAAAAAATTGGGATAATCTTGAGTTGGGAAAAAAGTTGTGAAATTCCGGAGGGGGATTTGTCCTTGGGCGTGCCATGGGAATGGGATCAGTCCTGGGATTCTGCTCCATGACATGGGAAATGGAAAAATCCCAGGATCCCACCCCACACCACAGGAAGCGGATCAATCCCAGGATCCCATCCCACACCACGGGAATCAGGTGAATCCCAGGATCCCACTCCATGATGATGAACTCCGGGATCCCACTCTGAATCCCAAGATCCCATTCCATGCCATGGGAATCAGGTGAATCCCAGAATCCTGCACCATGCCATGGGAAGTGGATCAATCCTGGGATCCCACCCCATGATGATGAATTCTGGGATCCCATTCTCAATCCCAGGATCCCACTCCATGCCACGGGAAGTGGATCAATCCCAGGATCCTGCCCCATGATGATGAATTCCCGGATCCCGTTCTGAATCCCAGGATCCCGCTCCATGCCATGGGAACTGGATCAATCCCAGGATCCCACCCCATGATGATGAACTCCAGGATCCCGTTCTGAATCCCAGGATCCCATCCCACACCACGGGAATCAGGTGAATCCCAGGATCCCACTCCACACCATGGGAAGCAGATCAATCCCAGGATCCCATTCCATGATGAATTCTGGGATCCCATTCTGAATCCCAGGATCCTATTCCACACCACGGGAAGCAGATCAATCCTGGGATCCCACCCCACGATTGGGAATCCCAGGATCCCACTCCATGCCATGGGAAACAGATCAATCCTGGGATCCCGCTCCACGCCATGGGAAGAGGATCAATCCCATTCCATTCCATGGGAAGCAGATCAATCCCAGGATCCTATTCCACAATGCTGAATCCCAGGATCCCATTCTGAATCCCAGGATCCCGCTCCATGCCATGGGAAACAGATCAATCCTGGGATCCCACTCCATGCCATGGGAAGTGGATCAATCCCAGCATCCCACCCCATGATGATGAACTCCAGGATCCCGTTCTGAATCCCAGGATCCCATCCCACACCACGGGAATCAGGTGAATCCCGGGATCCCACTCCACATCTTGGGAATTAGGTGAATCCCGGGATCCCGCTCCACATCTTGGGAATTAGGTGAATCCCAGGATCCCATTCCATGATGAATTCTGGGATCCCATTCTGAATCCCAGGATCCCACACCACGGGAAGTGGCTCAATCCCGGGATCCCACCCCACGATGCTGAATCCCAGGATCCCCCTGTGAATCCCAGGATCCCCCTGTGAATCCCAGGATCCCGCTCCGCCCCGACCCCGAAGATCCCGGCACGCACCGAACATCCAGACGTCGCTGGCCGTGGTGAAGCGCCGGAAGTTGATGGATTCCGGCGACATCCACTTGATGGGCAGGCGGGTGACGGAAGCTGGAATGACCCCGGAATGATCCCGAGATCCGCCCCCTTTGCCCCCGCGCCACCCCGAGGGATCCGCGGGATCCCCGATCCCACGGGATCCCACCTTTGTAGTATTCCTCGTCCTCGATGTAGCGGGAGAGGCCGAAGTCTCCCAGCTTGACGCATTCCGGGGAGGCCACCAGGATGTTCCTGACGGCGATGTCCCTGCGGGGATGGGATATTGGGATAACGGGATTTGGGATTTGGGATAATGGGATTTGGGATTGGAATATGGGATAATGGGATTTGGGATTTGGGATACTGGGATTTGGGATAATGGAGAGGAGAGGCCACCAGGGTGTTCCTGACGGCGATGTCCCTGTGGGGACGGGAGACGGGATATCGGGATAACGGGATATCAGGATACGGGATTTGGGATATGGGATAGGGGATAGGGGATTTGGGATACGGGATACTGGGATTTGGGATATGGGATATGGGATAATGGAGAGGCGAGGCCACCAGGATGTTCCTGACGGCGATGTCCCTGAGGGGATGGGAGACGGGATATCGGGATAACAGGATTTGGGATTGGAATATGGGATAATGGGATTTGGGATATGGGATATGGGATAATGGAGAGGAGAGGCCACCAGGGTGTTCCTGACGGCAATGTCCCCGTGGGGACGGGAGACGGGATAACGGGATATCAGGATACGGGATTTGGGATAGGGGATAGGGGATAGGGGATTTGGGATACGGGATACTGGGATTTGGGATATGGGATATGGGATAAGGGAGAGGCGAGGCCACCAGGATGTTCCTGACGGCGATGTCCCTGAGGGGATGGGAGACGGGATATCGGGATAACAGGATTTGGGATTGGAATATGGGATAATCGGATTTGGGATATGGGATTTGGGATATTGGGATAATGGGATTTGGGATGTGGGATATGGGATATGGGATAATGGAGAGGAGAGGCCACCAGGATGTTCCTGACGGCGATGTCCCTGCAGGGACGGGAATCCACAGGGTGGGAGATGAGGGGATATCAGGATAACGGGATTTGGGATTTGAGATATGGGATATCGGGATAATGGAATAATGGGATAGGATCCATGGGACGGGATGGGATAATGGAACAGGATGGGATTTGGGATGTGGGATTTGGGATTTGGGATGTGGGATTTGGGATATGGGATGTGATAATAGGATGGGATAAAGGGATGGGATGGAGGGAAGGGATGGAGATGGGGGTGGGATTGATGGAATGGGATAGTGGGTTGGAATGGGATGGGATTGGGATTGGGATTGGGATGGAGAGAAGGGATGGAGATGGGATGGAATGGGATGGGATAATGGGACGAGGTGGGATAATGGGATGGGGTGGGATGGGATAGGATGGGATTTGGAATATTTGACTTGGGATATGGGACTTGGGATATGGGACTTGGGGGATGGGATGGGATGTGATAGTAGGATGGGATGATGGGATAATGGGATGGGATGGGATCCATGGGATGGCATGGATGCGTGTGGGATGGAGAAGAAGAACCCTCACCCATCCAACCCAGCTCCAACGACTCCACCCCCCGCCCCATCCCTGCAGCCACTCCCATCTCCCACCACCCCCACACCCCTCCACGACCCCAGCTCCCCCCCCGGCCCATCCCGGAATTCCAGGGGGCTCCGGCCCCATCCCGAATCCCGCCCCCTCACCTGTGGACGCAGTTGATGGCCTCCAGGTAGGCCAGGGCCTTGCTGACCTGCAGCGCGTACAGCACCAGGGTGGGCACGGCCAGGACCAGCCGGTTCTGCTCCAGGTACTGGCCCAGCTGCAAACGGCACGTTCCCGCCGGGATCAGCTGCGGGAACGCCGGGAATGGGGTGGGGAACGGGGCGGGGAAGGGGGTCGCACCTCTCCGTAGGGATAAAGCTCCATGATGATCCAGGTGGGCTCCTCCTCGGCGATGCCGATGAGCTTCACGATGTGGGGGTGGTCCAGCTTCTTCATCAGCACTGCGGGGATGGTGGAATGCCCGCCTTGGCATGTAGGATCCCCCCCACCCCCCCCGCATTCCGGGGAATCCCGACCCCTGGAGGCGGGAGCAGCAGGAATTGTCCGGGATTTCCCAAAGGGGTTGGAGGTCCTGAGATTTTTAGGGATCGACATCCTTGGCCAGGGATTCCAGCATCCCAAAAAAGCCCTGGCAGGAACCTCAAGATCCTCCCAAAAAACCCAAAAGGAGCCTCAGGATCCCATAAAACCTCATCAGAACCATCAAGATCCCAAAAAACCTCAGCAGAACCTTCAACATCCCAGAAAACCTCAGCAGGACCCTTGGAATCCCAAAAAAGTCCACCAGCACCCCTGGGATCCCCAAAAAATGCCATCAGGACCCTAAGGATCCCAAAAAAACCCCATCGGGACCTTCGGAATCCCAAAAAAATCCAAAAGGCGCCTCAGGTTCCCAAAAAACCCCAGCAGGAGCATCAAGATCCCAAAAAAACCCAAAAGGCGCCTCAGGATCCCAAAAAACCTCAGCAGAACCTTCAACATCCCAGAAAACCTCAGCAGGACCCTTGGAATCCCAAAAAAGTCCACCAGCACCCCTGGGATCCCAAAAAACTGCCCTCAGGACCCTAAGGATCCCAAAAAATCCCGGCAGAAACCTCAAGATCCCCAAAAACCACAAAAGGAGCCTCAAGATCCCCAAAAAACCCCAGCAGGAACCTCAAGATCCCTAAAAAACCCGAACGGAGCCTCAGGATCCCAAAAAACCCTGGCAGGAACCTCAAGATCCAAAAAAAAACCCAAACGGAGCCTCAGGATCCCAAAAAACCCCAGCAGGAACCTCAAGATCCCTAAAAAACCCGAACGGAGCCTCAGGATCCCAAAAAACCCTGGCAGGAGCCTCAAGATCCCAAAAAAACCCAAAAGGAGCCTCAAGATCCCCAAAAAACCCCAGCAGGAACCTCAAGATCCCAAAAAACCCCAAAAGAACCCCTAAGGATCCCAAAAAATCCCGGCAGAAACCTCAAGATCCCAAAAAAACCCCAAAGGAGCCTCAAGATCCTCAAAAAACACCAGCAGGAGCCTCAAGATCCCTAAAAAACCCAAATGGAGCCTCAGGATCCCAAAAAACCCTGGCAGGAGCCTCAAGATCCCAAAAAACCCCACGAGGAGCCCGGGGATACCGGCTTCGCTCAGGAATTTCTCCCGGTTTTCCGGGCTGCAGTCCTTCTTGCAGGTCTTCACGGCCACGTTGATGCGCTCCCCGTTCTGCCCGGAGAAGGGAAAAGCGGGAATGGGGCATCCCGGATTTGGGATGCCCGGATCTGGGATGAGGGGGGTGGAGAAGGGCAGGGCGGGGGGGTCTCACCGGCGTGGTGTAGATTCCCTCGTAGACCTCTCCGAAGAACCCTTCGCCGAGGATCCGGCCCAGCGTGACGTCGTCCCGGGAGATTCCGAAGTGCTGGACTTGACGGGGGACGGGAAGGGGGAGGAGATTCCGTGATCCCGGGTGGTTCCGCGGGAAGATCCACCCGGAATAACCGGGAGATGCCCGTGGCTACCGAGCCTCCCCGCCAGTGAGGATCCCATGGATCCTGCCCTCTCTGTCCATGAGGATCCATGGATCCTCCCATCTCCATCCATGAAGATCCATTAAGATCTGTGAGGATCCATGGATCCAGACCTCTCCAAAATTCCCAGATGGATCCATGGATCCAACCACGACAATCCATGGATCCTGCTCTCTCTGTCCAGGAGGATCCATGAGGATCCCTGAGGATCCATGGATCCTCCCATCTCCATCCATGAGGATCCATGAGGATCTGTGAGGATCAGTGGATCCCACTATCTCCAACCTTTCCACAGGATCCGTGGATCCTGCTCTCTCCATCCATGAGGATCCATGGATCCTGCCCTCTCCAAAATTCCCAGATGGATCCATGGATCCTTCCATCTCCATCCATGAGGATCCATGGATCCTGCTCTTTCCAACGTTCCCACAATGACCCATGGATCCTGCCCTCTCCATCCATGATTTTCCATGGAACCTGCCATCTCCAAAATTCCCACAGGGATCCATGGATCCTGCTCTCCCCATCCATGAGGATCCATGGATCCTTCTATCGCCGTCATTCCCACAAGGATCCATGGATCCTGCCCTCTCCAAAATTCCCAGATGGATCCATGGATCCTCCCATCTCCAACCACGACGATCCATGGATCCTCCCATCTCCATCCATGAGGATCCCTGGGTATCCGTGAGGATCCGTGGATCCTGCTCTCTCCAACATTCCCACAATGATCCATGGATCCTGCCCTCTCCATCCATGATTTTCCATGGATCCTTCCCTCTCCATCCATGACTTTCCATGGATCCTGCCCCACGCCTCATCCCAGCTCCTCCAGGACCTTCTCGGAGCTTTGGTGAGGCTGGGACGGGAATTTGGGATGGGCAAGGAGGATCTGGGACACCTCAGCTGGAGAATTCCCACGGGAAGCACCTACTTCCGGATCTCGGCCTTGAGGATTCATCCAGGATTTCCGCGTAAATTTCGGAATCTGGAGAAAAACGGGATGTGGGAACAGGATCAGGAGGCTCGGTGGGCGCGGGAGATCTTCCAGCGCCTCCAGAGGGTCTGGCGCTCCTCCAGGAAGCTTGGATGCATCCCAGCCCTCTGGAGAAGAGCTGGGGGTGTCCAGCATTCCCGAATCCCGCATGGAATGTGTCCCAAATCCCTGCCCGCGTCCCCGGGATGGTGGGAAGAGGGACGAGGCCGAACTCACCGCCGCTGACGCTGTGGGAAAGCGTGGAATGCCTCTCCCCGAGATTCCTGAGGGTGGGAAGAGGGTCAGGGAGCGGGATGGGGGACAGGAAATGCCGGGAAAAGGGTCGGGATCACTCACGGGGCCGGGATCTGCGGGAGGCTGATCCTCTTCTCGCGATCTGCAGGGAGGACAGGGAATGGTCCCATCCCATCCCAATCCCATTCCCGTTCCCATCTCACTCTCACTCTCATTCCCATCCCATCCCATCCCATCCCATGGATCCCATTATCCCATGCGCCCATCCTATTGATCTCATCCTATTGATCCCATCCCATCCCATCCCAACCCCTCCCCGCCCACCCCCCCCCCTCCCC